TGGGGGAAGGAGGCCGGGTCTGAAGGCCATTCTTAGCATGTGCAAGTCAGGAGTTTTCGGGAAACCCGAGCCCGGAGGGAGCGTCTAGTTTCCCAGCGTGGGCAGGACGGCCCAGGAGGGGGCGTGCCCGCCGGGACCGCGCTGGGGCGCTAGGGCTCCGCTCCCACCCCCGGGCGTGGGCAGACCCGACGGCCAGGGGCCCCGCCACCTGGCCTCTGCCCCTCCAGGGACCGCGCCGGGCCCGCTTCCCAGACAGTTCCCTGAGCAGGAGCTGCGGGCGCCGGACGTGGGGGCACGAGGCGGGTGTCCCCGGCGGGGGCGGGGGCGAGGGGAGCCGGGAAGGCCCTGGAGGGCTGCCCAGACGCTGGGGCGCTCTTCCCGGCAGGGGAACCTGTGGCTTTCTGAATGGGGGTGCTGGCTGGACGCCGGAGGGGGCGCTGCGGCGGTAAGGGGCGGGGCTTGAGTGTGAGGGGCGGGGCTTGAGACCAGGTGTTCTGGGGAGACGGGACTGATAAGTGTGGGTGTGAATGAGAAAGGAAGGTTCTGGAGAACTTTGGGGTTAAAGATTTGGGGACAGGACGGGAAGTAAGGCAAGATGAGGGACACAAGTGTGACGGAAGACCAGCCCCTCCTCCTTCTTTTTTCCAAAATCCCCTTTGAGCCGGAAAGTTCCCCACCTCCCCGGGCGCGCCAAGCCAATTCGGCGGCGGCCGCCACGTGACGTCACGGGTTGCCAGGCAGATTGCCGCGCCTCTCCGGAGAGTCCTGCAAAGTCCCTGCCAGTGTTAAGTGTGGCGGAGCTGCCACTTGGAGCCCCAAAGACCGCCTCACTGCTTTGAGGACACAATGCAGAGAGGGGGACAGATCCGAGAGAGAGAGAGGGGGACAATGACCCAGAGAAAGAGGGGGATAGAGATTCAGAGAGTGGGACAGAGACCCAGAAAAAGAGGGGGACATCGACCCAGAGGGAGGGACAGAGACCTAGAGAGGGGGGACAGAGATCCAGAAAGGGGGGACAGAGACTCAGTGGGGAGGGGTGGGAAGCAGAGACTGACAGGGAGAGACACAAACATTAAACAGATGCCCAGGCCTGGCTCTCAGGCCCTGCACCAGGACGCCTTTGTCTCTGATGACCTCTGCCATCTTCCCCTCACGGTCTTGAGTCTCAGAGCCAGTGGTCCCAGGGCGGTGGCGGAGGTGGGGACACACAGGATTGCGGCTCAGAGCCCTGACCAAGGGTCCCAGGAGATCTGTCTCACTTCCGTTTGTTTCATTTAATTTTATTTCACATTTGGTCAAGAGGTTTTTGTTTTTTTGTTTTTCAAAATGTACATCACTTGTGGGAGGAAGCCCTGTGGAGGACACGTGGGCCCCGCACGCCCTTCCCAGCCGCACCCTGCCGCATAAGGACTGTTCCTCTCTCGAAGGCGGGTCCCAGTCTGGGCTCTGCCCCCAGCTTCTGTGTGACCCTCCCTGGTCCTCTGATTCCTTGCTGCTTGGTCCTTAGCCCCTTCCTGGGTACCGCTGGGGGTGGGGTGCGTTTTGGGGGATGGGTCAAAGGCCTGCTGAACAGGCTGTGAGAGATCTTGCCCCTCTCCCCCACCCCCTTTCACAGAAGGGGCAAACAGGCCGAGACCATGAAGTCATTTGCCTCTGCCACCCAGGTTCAAGGACCTCTTGCCCACCGTGGCTGGCACCCCCGCCCCCACCCCCTGGTGGTTGCAGTCAGCTCCCACAGTGCATCCCGGCTTCAGTTCCAGCTGGGTGTACACCTGGGCGCACAATGCAAACGGAGCGGATCAAACAGCAACAGAGCAAAGCGCCGGTGTGAGACAGCTGGGAGTGGTGGGGACTGGGGCAAGCCACAGTGCACAAGCCGCATCAGGCAGGGCCTCTGGCTCCACACAGCTGTGAAGCCCTGCCTCTCGCTGGATCCTCCAGGGTTTGAAGTACAGCCAGAAACTGAGATTCTGTAAATTCACCTTGTTCTGGGAACGCTGGCAAATTCTACACCCACCCACCCCCACCCCCCGTCCTGCCAAGTGCTGTGGTGAACTAAAGACACCACCACCAGGGGCCTGGTCTGCCCCAAGACTCTGCCAGCGTGAGACAACTGGTTAAAAGATGAAATGGGCAGTGGGGGTGCCCGGGTCACCCAGAAACCAAGCAAGTGGCTGGAATGATCCCCGGTGTGGTCACAAGAAGGGCATCCCAGAAGAGGGGGGCCCCACAGGAACTCAGAGTGAGTGAGATCCCCAAATGGACGTATCTGCTAGGATTCCATGGGCATGCGTGGGGCTCAGATGTTGACTGGGGGATCCCAATATGGCAAAGTTCACGGAGGTCCCCCCTAGAGCTGACAAGAGTGATTTCAGACACAGGATGGTCCCAGAGGGGTCCTAATGTGACTGGCGAACTCCAGACACGAGAAAATAAATGACCCAGGATTTCTCAAAAATGACAAGGGGGTCCCAGATGGGCTCCAAAGTGACACAGAGGTCTGAGACCCAGTAAGAGGTTCCCAGACTAAGTAGAGATCTCAGATCTGACAAGAGACACAGACATGACAAGGGGATTTCAGAGGGGCCCTGAACCCGACTTAGGGATGCTGGCAGGGCCTGCTCCTCCTGGTGTGGCATCTGTGGGTTCCCCTATAAGTGCGCTTGAAGGGTTGCAGACACACAGAGGGGTCCCAGTTCTGTTTAGGGGATCCCAGAGAAGCACTAGAGGGCTCAGAGATTCCAGAAGCACTGCCCCCCACCCCCAGTGCCGCCTCCCCGTACAGCACTCTATGGGTCCCCGTGACCCAAGAAACGGGACCCTGGACTTGGAAAGAGGATTCCCAAACACGCCCCAAACACGAGCAGGGGATCCCAGAAGGGCCCTGGGCAAGGCTTTTTGGCATTCCAGGTTCACCCGTCTCCCCAGTGCGAGGTCCATGGGCCCCAGGACCCAGGGTGTGAGGACGGGCCCTGGCTTGGGGGGTGAGGTCCCCCAAACGACTCGACAGGCGCGGCACGGGGCTCCCAGGGCTCCCCAGGCAGGGCGCGGAGCCCCCGAGAGCCCCCAAGTCAGGGCTCAGGCCCGGCGAGTGGCCGGCAGCAGCGCACTGTCGAACTGGTAGGTGAGCTTGCGCTTGACCTTGCGAATCTCGCCGGTCTTGGCGTAGTTGCGCAGGGCGCGCGCTAGCTTCTGGTAGGTCATGCGCTTGCGGTTGCCCTTCTGTTGACCCCAGCGGCGCGCCAGCAGCTCCTTGTGCTTGGAGGAGAACTGGAAGACGCCGGCGCCGGGCTCCACCCACCACACGCACTCGCGCATGTCGCCGCGGGTCAGCAACCCCAACAGGAACTGGTACAGGCGCAGCTTCTTGCGGGCTCCTGGGGCGAGGGGGGGAGTGGGCGTGTCAGGGCTGAGGAGTGGGCGTGTCAGGGTGGGGAGTGGGCGTGTCAGGGCTGAGGAGTGGGCGTGTCAGGGGCGGGGCCCTCAGACCCCGGCCCTACGCCCAACCCACTTGCAGCCTTCTGGGGCCCTTGCCCAGCCTTAGCCTCGCCAGCCATCTCGACAATGGGGTGACGCAGGTGGCTTTTCTATCTGAGCCTATTACCCTGCGAATCCCAGTCCCTGCTTCCCATTGCCAGTGGGACCCCGGAGAGGCCAGGGGATCTGATTCCTGCACTCCTAGGAGAAGCAAGGGGCCCACAGTGCTGACTGTGTAAGAGCCCCAACTCTGCCATTTCCCAGCTGTGTGATTTGGGGGTGATGACTTAACCTCTCTGAGCTTTTTGTCTCCTCAGCTATAAAATGAGGCTAATGTGTGTGTGTGT